CTAAACTTCTCTCAACATTTTTCACTGTGAATATATGTGGATCTTGAATGTGCAAAATATATACGCACATCAATTACAAACCCCACTTTTTATTCTTTTCTTAATTGATTCAAGTTGGGAAGGATAGGATAGATACACTTTTTATGCTTTGATTTCTACTCTACACACTCGATCAATAGACGATACAACCATCATACATTATCATGTAGGCTTTTAATCATAGCTAATTTGCCACAGTTCATCTGCTATTATATTCTTTTGTTTTTTTGTTTTGGTTGGAGGAATTGTTATTTTGTTCAAAATGATCATTTTCTTTTCATTAATTTTTTAGGGTCTGAAATTGCTCAAGGCATCATTGGAGTCTAACGCAGTTCTTACCAGTGTCTTCCTTGGGAAGAAAGAGGAGTAAACATGTCAACTTTAAGCCTGATCAATTCTGGAAATGGAATTTTGGAGCTAGTTTGACTGTTGTGTGTCTGACTTCGGACTAGGGATTCATAAAGAGTGTCTTACACTGTTATTTTGGAGGTTTTTTGTGGTAATCAGTCAGTTGTAAATTGATGAAATCGACTTCACCATGCTCCTTTTCAGAGGATAGTTTCTTCTGTTAAGGTAGCTGAACTGACTTGCTAGAACTTTTGAGCTTGTGTGACTCCAAGATGTTTTTGAGACTATACTTGCTGAATGAATCGTTTTCTTCATTTTTGCTGTACTATTAATTGGACTAAAAGTTTAAAAAAAGACACAGCGTATAGCGGGGCGGCTGTACTCTTTAAATAAAATATATTTCAAGATTATAGCCGTGCGGCTATACCTTGTTGTTTAATTTTTTTCCTGAAATTAATAGTATAGCCGAACGGCTATACTATTTTTCTTTATTCCAATGAATAGGCCGCGCCGCTATTGGTTTTCTTTATTTTTTTATAAAATTAATAGTATCGCCGCGCGGCTATACTAGGTGTTTTGAAATTGTTTTTAAAATTAATCATATAGCCGTACGGCTATACGCTGATTTAAATTTTTTTGGGAGTAAATAGTATAGCCGAGCGGCGATACTATTTAAATATAATATATTAAAATAGTATAGCTGCGCGGCTATACTTCCTTTTTTTTAAAAAAAAATTCCTGAGATTTATAGTATAGCCGCCAAAGCCATCAAACGTCGTTTCCTGAAATTCATCTCGCCTTAATTCAAATGAGTCTTCATATTTATGTGGATATTGCTTTCTGATACAT